CTGCTGCTGCTGCTGCTGCTGCTGCTGCCTCTGCTGCAGGGATCTTCTCCTCAGCGAGTCTTACTTCTTCTTGCTGACTTATCGCCTTCTAAGAGTCCCCCCAATCTCCACAGAAGCTCCTGGGGGCCCCCGAGGGGCCCCCACTGTGGGGTCCCTCCAAGGGGGCCCCCAGGGGGCCCCCCGGGGGGCCCCCCAGGGGGCCCCGGGACAGGGGGTCCCCCAGGGGGGCCCCCGGGGGGCCCCCGAAATGTGGGGTGCTGGGGAGCGGGAACGTTTGGTGTTTGTAAACAGATTTGTTTTGTCTCTTTATGAAGACTTGGGAGCCCTTTTAAAAGCAAATGCTTTAAATCAAATAAATAAAATAAAATTAATTTGTTTGAAGGCGGTGACGGAGCCGGAGAAGTTGAATGAATATGTGGGGAGGTGGTTTGTTGCTGTTGTTTTGATTAATTAATTAATTAATTAACTAATTAAAATGGAAAATTAATTAATAAATTAATAAATTAATTATTTTTTTATTTTCTTCGCATTCTTCAGTCTAGTTGTCTTTTTTTAGTCAACTATCTCTTTTCAGTTGCCTCCTTTTAATTTATTTTCTTTCAATTTATTTTCTTTTAATTTATTTTCTTTTAATTTATTGCCTTTGAATTAGTTTTTTGAAAATTAATTTTCTTTAGTTAATTGTTATTCAATCAGCTGTAGTTTATTTAATTGTCCTTCAATTGTCTTTATATTAATTCTTTTATTCTTAACTGTATTTTAATTCTCTTTTTACTACTAATATTATTATTAATTCTCTTTTAATTAATTGTCTTTTAATTAATTTTGCTTCAATCAACTGTCCTTTGATTAGTTGTCTTTTATTTAATTAACATTTTATTCAATTAACTTTTTAAAATTAATTTTCTTCTTTTAAGTTCATCATTTTTAAAAACCCCTTAATTATTTCTAAAAAATAAGCATTTACAGGTTAATTTCTTTTTTTTAATTTCGTTTTTTGATTAATTGTTTCCTTTCAGAGAAGTCCATTTTAATGATTTATTTCAAATGAACATTTTAAAACCAAACAGGCACTTTTAAATAAAATAAACATTTTAAAATTAATTATTTTTTAAATTTCTTTTTGTTTTATTTTTTATTTAGGCGGAGTCCATGAAGCCTCTTTTTGACAGAGACTTTTTCGCCTTTCTCTTCACCGCCATTAAAGAAGAAAGAAATAGAATTGCGTCAGACTTTTGTTTTATTCTTATAAAATAAAATTTAATTCGAAATCACAAAAGGGCTCCCAAGGGGGCCCCCAAAGGGCCCCCAAAGGGGATCCCAAGGGGCCCCCGAGGGGCCCCCAAGCGGCTTCCGAGGGGCCCCCCAAGGGGCCCCCGAGGGGCCCGTCAAAGACCCCATAGGGACCCCCTAGGGGCCCCCAAGGGCCCCGTTCGAGGCGTGAGTAATGGGCTGTTTTGCTGCTGTTGCTGCTGCTGCTGCTGTTGCTGCTGCTGCTGCTGCTGCTGTTGCTGCTGCTGCTGCTGCTGCTGCTGCAGGATGCAGGGGCTAAACCCTGATGCTGCTCCGAGCCAGTGGCTGCTGGTGCTGCTGGTGATTGAAAAGGGCGTGAGGGCTTTATTTGAAAAAGAGATAAATGAGGTGAAGTTTGGATTTTAAAATTAATTTGACTCACTTAACTTCAAATTATTTCATTTAAATGAATAAATAAACAATTAATTAATTAATTAATTGTTTAATCATTTAACTAATTTACGAGGCCTCTAGCGCTTTCCTATGAGGGGCAAAGCGGCTCTTTTAGGCATTTCTGCGGTGAACTGGGGCTAGGGTTTAGGGTTTAGGGCTGCTGCTGCTGCTGCTGCTGCTGCTGCTGCTGCTGCTGCTGATGCTGCAGGACATTGTGGACTTGGCCTTCATTTTGGTGCAGCAGCAGCCGCAAGTGCGCCAGCTGCTGCTGCAGCAGTGGATTGCGCAGCTGCCGAAGTGTGATTGGAAGCAATTCAAACTTTTGGGTTTGCGACTCGCCAAGGCCTTTGCAGACAAGTCCAATCCCTAAACCCTAAACCCTAAACCCTAAACGCACGCCCTGCTCCCGAGGCCTGCGACGCCGCGCGACGGACCCGCAAAACCCCTGGACAGCAGCAGCAATAGCAGCAGCAGCAGCAGCAACAACAGCAGCCGCAGCAGCAGCAGCAGGGAGAGAAGTTTAGAGGAAAATCAAGGCAGCAGCAGCTCACTCACACTTGCCCCCACTTATATACTACTGCTGCTGTTGCTGCTGCTGCTGCTGCTGCAGGCAGTACAGTGCTGCTGCAGTGTCTGCTTACCCGTGGCTGCCAGCAGCAGCGCAGCAGCTGGGGAGGGAGTTGGAGCAGCAGCTGCCGGACTGGTTAATAGAAGGAATGCTTTCGGATTATGACAGACACCAAATGCTGCTGCAGCACGTGAGAAGTATTTTTATTTCTTTTTGTTTCTTTTTTAGTTCTTTTTATTTTTGTTTCTAAATCCTTTTTGCTTTTTTCTGAGACTGCTTTTCCTCCTTTTTGCCTTTTCTCCGGCCCCTTTTGGCCTTTTTTGTGAGGGTTTAGGGTTTAGGGTTTAGGGCTTAGGGTTTGGGGATTAGGCTTTCGGGCCCAGGGTTTAGGGTTTAGGGTTTGGGGTTTAGGGTTTAGGGTTTAAGGTTAAGGGTTTAGGGTTAATAGTTAAGGGTTAAGAACAAAGGGTTTAGGGCGCGGGCTGCTAGGGTTTAGGGTTTAGGGCCAATGGTTTAGGGTTTAGGATTTAGGGTTTAGGGTTTGGGGTTTGCAGGCGAAGCGGCCTTTTCTCTTTGGCCCCGTCGAGGCGCCGCAGCCGCCCGAAGGATCTGCTGAGGAGCGCAGCAGCAAAGTGCGATTTGCTGCTGCTGCTGCTGCTGCTGCTGCTGCTTGTCTTTTTTGTGTTTCTTTTATATTTTTTCCCTCCTTTTTCGGTCCCTTTTGTTTCCTCTTTTTGCTTCTTTCGTCTCCTCTTTAGAGTTTAGGGTTTAGGGCTTTAGGGTTTCTCTTTTGATTTTATTTAATTTCTTTTTTCTAAATTTCGCCTTTTTGTTTTTAAGTGTTCTTTGTCTTTTCCTTTCTGAGGTGTGTACACCTAGAGGGTCTTCTTGCTGCGCGTGCCGCTGCTGTCGCTGCTGCTGCTGCTAATGTTGCTGTTGTTGCTGCTGCTGCTGCTACTGCTGCTGCTGCTAATGCTGCCGCTGCTCTTGTTGGCGCTGCTGCTGCTGTTGCTAATGCCACTGCTGCTGTTGCTGCTGTTACTGCAGCTGCTGCTGCTGCTGCTGTTGCTTATGCTGCTGTTGCGGCTGCAGGTGGCCGAAGAGCTCAAGCAGCAGATAGAAGAAGCAGCCGTAAGCCAAAAAGCAAAATGCTAAAGTTGCCAATCAGCTAGCTAGCTAGCCAGCTAGTTAGCTAGCTAGCTGGCTAGCTAGCTAGCTAGCTAAGTAACTAACTAGCTAACTAGCCAGCTAGCTCAGCATATAGACAGGTATATGAATAGTAGCTGGCTAGCTAGCTGGCTAGCTAGCCAGCTAACTAGCTAGCTAGCTGACTAGCTAGCTAGCCAGCTAGCCAGCTAGCTAGCTAGCTAGCTAGCTGATTAGCTAGCTAGCTGACTAGCTAGCTTGCTGATTAGCTAGCTAGCTGATTAGCTAGCTAGCTGATTAGCTAGCTAGCTGATTAGCTAGCTAGCTAGCTAGGTAGCTAGCTAATTAGCGACTTCTTTAAGGGTTTTCCCGTCGGGGCTGCTGCGTCCTGGGACCCGGGATTGGGAGTTTAGGGTTTAGGGTTTAGGGCTTGGGGTTTAGGGTTTAGGGTTTAGGGCTGGAGGTCAAGGGGGTGTGGGGTTTTGAAAGTTTGCGGTGTCTGTACAGACGGCCTTTAGAGAGAATAAAATAATTCACGAGAGGACAGGAGAGACTATCTCCTAACTGCAGCATTTGCTGCTGCTGCTGTTGCTGCTGCTGCTGCTGCGGCCGTTGCTGCTGCTGCGGCTGTTGCTGCTGGGCGGCTGTTGCTGCTGCTGTTGCGGCTGCTGCTGCGGCTGTTACGGCTGTTGCTGCGGCTGTTACGGCCGTTGCTGCGGCTGTTGGTGCTGCTGCTGCGGCCGTTGGTGCTGCTGCTGCTGCAGCAGCACTTGTGCTTTCCGTTTTCGTCTAATCTGCAGTTCTTCTTCATTTTTAATTAAAGAAACTTTAAAAACTTTAGTTTTTCTTTTTCTCTTTTTGACTCTTTTCTTTTGGGGGCCGTGAAAGGCCTGACCGTTGCCGTTCCTGCTGCTGCTGCTGCTTTTAATCTTGCTGCTGCTGTTGCTGCTGCCGCTGCAGCGCGAAATAACTGTGTCTGCTGCAGCAGGTGCTAGCTGCTGCTGCCGTTGGCTGTTTGCTGCTGCTCCTGCAGCAGCAACTAAAAGGGGCTGTTTGTTTTGAGTCTAAAAGTATATTTAAATAAATAAAAATAAATATATTTTATTTCTATTTAAATAAGTTAAATTCATTTTAATCAATAAGATCGAACTTTGAAGAAAGAATTATTACAAGTCCCTTTTCGAAACAGCAACAAACGAAGAGTTCAGCTGTTTGCTGCCTCAAGGCCCCCAACCCCCTGCAGCAGCAGCAGCCGCTGCTGCTGCTGCAGTTGCTGCTGCAGCTGCTGCTGCAGCATGCACGGCGAAGGAGACAGCAGGCGGCTGCGGTGTCTCCGCAGACACCCCAGAGGGACTGTGGGGCGGCCTTAACGGTACTGCAGCAAAGAGAGACACACAAGACAATTTGCTGCTGCCGTTGCTGCTGCTGCTGCTGCTGTTGCTCCGGCTGCTGCTGCTGGGCGTAAGCTGCAGCAGCAGCAGCAGCTGCTGCTGTTGCTGATCCCCGTCTCTATTTTTTGTGGGGTTTTCGTTTTCTTGCGGAATGGAGTTCTGTGCATCGGTACACTCT